TCTCATTATTAGGTCGTCACCATCAGCAACGATGTATCACATTTCTCATTTGATTCTACCTGCTTACCTGGGCCGTCGTGGTTATGAGACTCCAAATATATCGATTTTACATTTATTCTTTTTCATTTATGAGCAAAGCGTAGACTAATTTCGAAATGCTTTTACTATTCATCTGAGCACCTACTGAATGTTTATGGGCTCTCTCTTCCGGTCCGACACATGCACCTTTTCTCTTTATGGGCATAAGTACTCTTGAAACTAGGTGAGCTAACAGGAAGTTGTCCATGATGAATACTTCCCATTCCAAGCACCATCCTTTAGGACATGAAATGGTTCAGGTGCGAAGGTTGGCAAGGATAGATCGTGATCCATCCCATAAATGGCCTTGGGACCTGGTCCCGCTTAGGTCAGCCCCATTTTCGGAAATTCGGGAGGTTGTTAGGCAACCGACTCGTCTGGAATCATAAAATACAGACCTTGTCTCTTCAGCTACTCGATGCGAATTCCTTTTACCGAGCCTATGCTTATGATGGCTCGAAAGGGTTCTTTTTTGACGTGGTATTCTTTTCTTTCAAGATGGAGGAGGTGGTAGTGGCAAGTGGCGCATTGCATACTTACTTGCACGGAGTTCGAATCCATGATCTGAACCCGCCTGGACCAACCGATTTGTAAATCCCTCTGGGTCGGACATTCGGTAGCAGACCTGTCTGGGAAGACAAAAGTATTGACTTGTACATCTTGTGGTCCCCGCAAATCAGTGTGTCGGCTCCACATGCGTACAGAACGTCCCTACGGTTCTGAATGGAAAACGAATGCAGGGACGCAAACAGCGTCGAAAAACTTTTAAGCCTTTATTCTTTTGTTTCGTGGAGCTGAGATTGTTCATTGGGATCCTGCTGTTCCAAGGGCATGCAGTGTATCTTTCCAGTCGTTCAAAGTTTTTAGGATGAAATCTGATTGGAAAGCTGTCCATTGTTTTGGGTGTTCGTTTTGCACTCTGTTTCGTCCAGTCCATATAGCTCCGATCCAGCGATCATCATCGTTGGCTGGATCCAGCTCATTTGAACTTTGATTCCTTTGCCTGATCGTTGGGTCTCTGACACTTAATAGGAAGTCCAAGGGACTCATAGTGCAACTGCTTTTACTTCTGTAAAGTGATGGAACGGTATTATGAATTTTGGACTTTTTCTCAGAGTTTTCAGGAGCATGGCGCGGCTCAGAACGCAGTCCTGTGCTCTGTTCCTTCTTTACTTACACTCTGTGAGACTGAAAGTCTTTTACTCCAGGAATATTTCGATATTTAAAATGTTCTTTTCACTTCAGTCTGCCCTTACTGAGGCACTAACCAGTCTAGTATCCATAAAACTGGAATGTGCACATTCCAATTTGCTCTCAATTTTTTTGACATCTTTCACATTCCATTTAAGCAGCTGCCAAAGAATAATGCGTAGCTATATTAGTTTTATTGGCTTACGGTAGGCCGAGATTGACGTGGTAGTGCTAGAAGCTGCTGGATTAGAACTGCCTTTTTAAACTTTTCCCTCGATCATCTCAATTATTTCAGTCCCGATCCTTCGGGCTAATGGGTTGGAACTGAAATCAGGAAATTTGAAGTGAGAGTAGGGCATGATATGGTCGGGTAACGAAATTTCTCAATACCCCACCACCCTCTTTTTTCCAAGTTTTCTAGCCAGTATGTGCCTTTCAAGGGGATTTTGAACTCCAAGATATGATGTGTCACCTGGGAGAATTTGCAAAAAGCATTCGATGGATATTGATTCAGTTGAATCCGGTTTTCCCTTTTTCCATCAGATCCTTCGTATTTCTTGATTGGAAGGAATTTATCTGTTTTATTGATTTTCCAGTTCTCCCACCCGTGAACTGTGAATAACGTTTAGCTCCTATATGCTCCGGGGCTCCTCTTACGCCTGCAGTTCTATTATGACTCTAAATTCGAGCATATTCTTCCAGCAATAAAATCGTACAATCAGAATTCAGAAGCGCTGACTCATTGTCCATTTGTATTCTTCGATGACTGACAATTGCAATTCTTTTGTTGTTATCTAAACGTCTATGATCAATGATGCTGATTCTTTTTGTTTGAAATCATTTACTTCACTACTATTTCCAGCCACGATGTTGGGCGCTTTACTCTTAGTATGGAGGTGGGGAAGAGAATGGGGAGAAAGGAAAGTTTATTACCATTGGGCAAATTGTATTATCGAATTATTCCATAGTTATTTAAGCCGCGTAGCTATGTAATCAGACTTTACATAGCTTATCATGAAAATAGTTAAAGTTCAAATCAAAAAATCATAATTGATGTCTAGAATTTACTTATTTATTTTTATTTATTGTTTTCCTTCGGAGCGCTCAGTCATAAATCGTAGAAGTCATATCAGAAACGTTACGGATAAAGGATAAAGTTTTTGAACATTAATCCATCTCTCTGAAGAATGCGCCCCACATTCGACTTATATTCAGAATCGTAGTGCGTATTGAATGTCCCATACAATGATTGCAGTGGCCATCTGATGTACAAGTCAGTGGTTTAATACTCCTAGACGGGTCTGGCACCAATTAACTGACCCAGGAGGGGTGGAAGGCTTGGTTGGCCTAGGTGGACATCGATCCGGCATAAAAACGTGACCTGCAGAAGGGCTTAGGTGGTGCAGAGGCAGGCGGCACACTACTACACATGTATGGACAAGGGTTCTAATCCCGGATCGATATCCGCCTAGGCCAACCCATCCTTTCATTCCTCTGATTATTGGTGCCAATTGGTCGTCTGGGAGGATAAAAGCACTGACTGGTAAATCGGATGCCTACTGCAAATCATCGTTTAGACCACATACGCATTCAACACGCCACTACGATTCTGAATGGAAGTGGAATGAGCAGGCGCATCCCAAAAAAGCGTTCGATTAACGCAAAAGACTCCTATTTTTTTATCATTCCGAGTCATAGGTGTGTATAATAATTAAGTAGAGACCCTTATTTGGAATGGTTGTTCTGAGAATTCTACATTTTTTATCGAGAGTCGACTACATGGCGTATATCGGGATAACCCCTAGAACCATCTACTATATGTAGATGATGTCCAAATTCATTTGATCTGGGAAGTATTCAGAATGTAGCTGAAGCTCTCTATCCATCACATCCTCCTGACATCCTCTATTTGCATACCCGAGTAGGAAATCCGGTTTAGCAATTACTATGCAAATATGAATTGATTGCGTCGTAAAGTATCAGATGTCGTCAGGTTCTCTTCATCAATATAGCTGCAATTTATTGTTATTGTTTATCATTTACCTGTTTTTATTTCCATTTTATCGGTACCAGTAATATTGTTTCGTTATAAACGTCATATCATGATGGGGATGACCGGCATGAGTGTGAATTAATATACCACTTATGAATTTAGTGGTAGAAAACCGATAGTAATACACCTCTCTACATCTCGGGTGGTTTCAAGTGTTTTGTGATTTTCCCCTTGTTGTGAATGCTCAACTTTTCTCTTTGCAATTGTACCTCACTTCATGGTAGTGTGCGCGCTCTTAGTGGTGCTTCAACAAACGCAAATTTCGGACCTAAAGTCACACGCCTTCTGCTTACGTCAAATTTCGTCTCCTCTTTACGTCTACTTACCATGTCTTTCTGGGAGACGGCGTTAGGAACGATTTTGGGTAATCGATTTGCCGCACGCGGCTGTCGCGGACCACTCATTTGCCGTTATTACAGCTCTAGCGTTCTTCATACAGCTNAATCGATATGCAATCATTATTTTATGCATAATTCTACTATTAGTACTTTTGTTCTTGTATTTCTTACCTACTGCTGCATCCTGCTACATTCCTTCGCGCGCGACGCCCCTCTCACCGCGACGCGACCATTTCGTTCCTAACGCACCACACCCTGTCTTTCTCCTTTAATGCCACGCCATTTACACTCCGATTGGAAGAATGTTCTTAGATTCGGTAAGTTCACTACAAAACTAGCTCATCACATACTCTTAATAGAAGTGAGATAAATGTCGAATCGATGGAGACTTTTTGAGTGCGCTAATTAGGGTCTTTTTACATTCAAACTTACACGTCATTGCTGCATATTCTTTGACGTGGAAATTGATTTTACGCGCATATGATCGATATCGATTTTTGAGCCATTGCAACGTGGTCTGAAGTGATGGAAAAACGTGAGCTTTATGATATCTGAATATCAGATTAAAACAAACAATTGAATCAAATATTAATCGATTCGTTTATCTTGACCACTTCAGAGTGTCATTTAACTGTCATAAGAACACTACTGCCATTACTGTAGTTCATTTCTTGGAATACAACTTTCCATTCGTGAAATCGTCTCGAAAGAATGATTTTCACGGGTTGGTTGACCTTCCTACTAAAGGTATGACACCACACGACGATGCTGCTGCATCATGCTATGCATACAATGTGTCATAGCATACCACCCTCCCACATGGGAACACGCCATCACTTTTTTGCATGATTCCCACTTTAAGCATGAGGGCATCTTTAAGCAAACATCGTAACTGACTTTCGCCTCTGTTCCTTGCGACTCTAGTATCTTTTACAAACCAATACCGACAGTGCGACTGGAACGCGAGCTACAATTTCTCCACAGTTTTTTTTCTGTAGCTTCTGTAGCTGAAGGGAATTGTGGCTTGCGTTCTTGTTTACGCTTTTGCTTGTTTACTGTTGGTTTTTAATAACAATAATTTCCTCCTCTCCTCATAAATTTCATGAAAAACTCGTATCAGCGCAAGTTTCCTGATCATCTCCATCCTCATCACTTTCCTTGTGTTCTCTCCAAACAGCTTATATAATGATATGACAGCCCTTTTTGGTGTACCTTAAGATGTCGGTTACGCCCAGGCGGTTCCTGGGAGGATTTCCGTACCCAGTAATCTATGGAATTTGTTTAGAGGAGGCGTGGATCGTTCCGGTTTTGGTAAACGGCTGCCAAGCAGTGCAACCAAAATGCGGCCACCTCCTACAGGACATATGGTGATCAACATGAAGACAACCATCACCACCCATGGAGCTCACAATGGTGTTATTGTGCATGCTGGTGTACAGTCAGGTGGAGCGGGAACATCTCAAGGTAATGATCTGGTTTGAGGGCGCTTTTCGAAATTCGATGACTAGAATAACTCAATTAGGAACAACTTTGGACGAGTTTCCTCTGTCACTGAAGTATGGCATATTCTGATAATTCAAAGTCCAAAGCCGTTTCTAGAATCTAGGCCTAATTGTCAAGTTTCTAATCGCTCCAGTCCTCAAGGGGATAGAAACACTGAATTAAATCTTATATTAATTTCTCTCTGTTATACGTGATGTATTAGTATAATACCGAGCCAACCAAATATCAACACAGTTCAATATGGATAACGAATGCATGGCGTATACTGAGCCCTGCAATGGCCTATAGTCAAATGATCGCCGGTCAACAAAAGTTTAATCAGTCACTTGAAATTTTAGGCTCCCAGTGGTACATACCGTCACAGTTCCCACAAATTGAAACACCCGGCGGTACGACTCTTCATGCCGTTGCTGCTGGAACCAGTCAGGAGAATTTGGCAACAAGTGGGTTCAAATCCTGTGGTGGCTTTAGATGGGGCATGATCACAAAAATGTTCACATTTGTTTGTTGATCACTTGTCTTTTTGTTTATCGATCAAAACAGAGGGCGACAAAGGAGTCCACGTTTTTATTTTCGAGATATAAATTACTTTTTTGTACCGAATACGTGGTCGCAAATACCCTTAATTTTTTATTTGCCTGTTTCAAAGTGATTTAATATTTTCTATCAACGATTTAATATTTTATATACAAGAACTATCGAATAATGATGATGATCACAAAATGAACACATTTGTTTACTTACTTTATCCATTTATTTGTTTATTTTTTTGTTGATCTGAAGCAATGAATACAAAATGTTTACTTTGCTATGTCATTTGTTTGCTTGTTTATTTAATTACTTTCTTCTTTTTTATAGTTAATTACTGATTATTTGTTTGTTTTCTTATTTATTTATCGAACGACATGATCGCAGAATGCTTACATTTTTTGTCTACTTCTTTTTTGTTTACTTGTTTGTTTTTTTATTCGAGAAATATTATGGTCACAAAACGCTTGCTTTCATTTATTTATTCATTTATTCATTTATTTATCAAATGACATGGTCACAAAACAAGTGTTTGTTTATTTGTTTACTCATTTGATTATTTACTTCTTCGTGTATCGAATATCATGATCGCAAAGTGTTTGCCTTTGATTTTCTTGTTTGCTTGTTTATTTGTTTCTCAGTTTCATTGTTACTTGTTTGTTTATTTTTTATGTTTATTCATTTATACTTATAACGATTTTGCACTTATAAAACAGCTAATAATAATCATACCGAGTAAGGAGGATTTATAGAAGATCAAATAATGAAGTGATCTAAGCTAATCAATCGATTTATCTAGGTTGGCCTTCTCTACACGTCAACACTGCGTCTCCTATACCGGAACAGCGGCCGTCTCGGCAGGATCGGTCTCCATTGCTGTCACGCCAAGAGCCTTCCCCACAACCTCGACGACGTGAACCTTCTCCACTTCCTCGACGGAATGGCCCTTCTCCACAATTCCGACGGCAAGAGCCTTCGCCACCACTACGGCGAGCTCCATCTCCGCCTGCATCGCCAGTTTTCTCATTTACTGGTCGGGATTCTCCACCGGACGAATTCATTCAACCCACGAAGGTCACCCTGAATGTGTTCAACCCGGTAAGTTTTGCTAATATTTTCCTAAAACTTTCTTTTGCTCTTGGAAATTGAGTTGTCGTTCCTTCCCTCCAAATAGCCTCCTTCCAACTATTTCACGTTTTGAAGGAAATATCGGAACCTATAGCTATCAATTATTTTAACTTTCTTTCCCTCTTAATTCTTCTTCATGCTGTACTAGCTGATTTTTAGTGTCCACTTGCTAATTTTGAGGCCGATTTTCTAAGGGTCTGTCTGAAAGTTCAAAGTTTCGGGCGATTCTCCCAGGTTCCTGGCAAGAGGCCGGGGAAACACATAAAGCGTTGTTCTTCGTTTGTGTCATGGGGGGATTATCCGGATCCCTGAGTGTTTACTTGGCCTAGTGTTGATACTGAATAAACAGCAATCTCTGGAGTGTTACTAGCCGCAAATCCTATGAATGAGCGAGTTGCCATGTTCCGAAACCGGTTGAGGAAAATTGGCTTCTTACATGACACTTCGGGTGCTCTTCTAGATGTCCCTGGGATTTATATCCTGGGTAAGGTTGCATTCTAAGCCAACGGAACGCTTCATCCCTCAGTTGTCAGTACTGCCTGGAAGGGTATGAAATACTGATGCATACGNTGGCTGATCCCCTAAGGTTGATTTATAGTCCGATTGGTGCCATTGAAATTCCGCTACGAATCTGAATGGGTGCCATGTGCATGGCGTACCTAATGAAAGAGCTGATTGACCTTGATTCAATCCTAAACATTCGGTTTCACTAATCACTTATCATTTGTCTTTTTTAGGGACATTCCCAGCCAATCGCCTATGAAACAGCCCTCCGTCGTGCGAATTCCCAAAATACCGATGCCCTTATCAACGATTCTGTCACAACCACGACTACAATTGAAGTGTTCCGTACGCCGGTAAGGAAAACCCTATTCGACCTTCCCCACTCTACCGGTAGCTGATATACGCTATTTTAGTTGGATCCATCAAATCCGGATAGAGTTGTAGCATTACCTCCACCGCCAGTACCCAGTATTGATGATCGACCATTGTTATTAAGGATGAATGGACCCGGATACGAAAAATGGTCCAGCCAAAGGTGGGTGATTAATTGATTGCGCGAATTTTTCGAGATTCGCGTTCAGAGTTTGCGACTGAGCGGCTAGGCCGTAATGCGTAGAATACTTATTGATTGATCTCCGAAATACTCATCGCTTTTAGTGATTCGAAATTTCCAGAACGGAGACTCTTATCAACGATCGCCCTGTACAAGGTGTACCTGCCCATCCCGGGAAAGCTGTCCAATGGAAAGAAACGCTGGTTGAAGGGCTGCAAGGACCGAAAAAAGTGTAAGTTCTGAATATTAGAATTCGATCATCGATTACTCTGTAAAACTGAACTTTATTGTTGTCAGTTACGATCCTTATTCGGGACAACGATCCCCATACGCAAATGCAGTGACGTCTCCACAACCTCCTGCTCATCACCAATTCCAACTTCCCACGGTGAACTCGTTTGATGAACGGTGAGTTTGAGCTCCAATTTTGGGACATTTTATCGATGGTATCATATCGGTCCGATTGACTGAGTTGGGTTTTTCCTTTAGGAATTTGGTTTTAAATTCAAATCTGGCTGGCAAGGTCATGCTGATCAGGTCGATTGGCGACTCCTGGCCCTTCTCGCAGGAGCTTTTGTCTATTCCTAGATAGCCTCATTCCTTCCCCAACCTCGTCAAAAACCACTTAGCCACTTCTGACATTCGCCATATACTGGATGCCATTTCGGGACTGTTGAAGGGGAAATAGGGACAGGATTATGGGGCCCATGTATGGCTGTTGTTGTCGTCTTGACAAATGTAGTACGTACTACTGGCCAATCGATGTGGTACGTACTGCTGGTGGTTCCCAGGGTCAGCCCACTCGGTTTCACCTCCATGAAGTTGAATCATTGGTCTCAGAAGTGCACAGAATACGAATCCATGGCTTCCTTATAAATTGGGTAGTGGGCGGATACTGTAAGCTGCCTATTCATACCGAAATGTCAGAAGGAGGAGAGATGCACGGCGCAGCCATTGGGGGCTTTAACAAAAAATAAAAAATATTGCCTTTTTTGATCTTCCTTTTTGTAGATTACTGCCACGACCCGCGTCGAATAAGACCGCCTATGTCGTTCAATCTCCCACGGGATTTTCAACAGTCTCCCATCCGCTCATAACGAATTCCAATGAAGATCTGAGCAGGTATGCTTGATTAGGGGTACTAAAAGTTGTTGTTTTGATGGTTCTTATTCATATAATTCAGGACACAATATCAAAGAAGCCCGGTACCGGCTGATTCTGGTGGTTACCATGAAATAATCACTCATCCTGCGGTTCCTGATACGACATTGGACTACCGTACTCAGCACAGTGAAACTCCAATTCTGAACCACTCGTCTCATGCTGGATATGAGCAAGTGCGTCGCCCAGCGTTACCATCTGCTCCTTTGATAACGTCGACGAATGGAACTATGACTCGAAGTGTCTCCAGCCCTCTTTATGTGGAACCGAAGCGTGACCGATCGGTCAGGCCTAATGTACCACCACCGCCTCAGCCGCGTCGCCATTCGCGGCGTTCGCACAGTTCACATCGACGGCGTCGCGATAACGACCATGAACGGTACGAGCGACACCGCAGTGAATCACCCTCCTATCGCCGACCAGCGGTCATCGCGCCCAACTACACTGCTTTACAACCATCTACCGTATCTCCTGGATATCGTTTGGATCCAAACGTTCTGCCTGGCGAGGGACCATCGAGGGCGAATTCTCGAGAGATATTTAATCTCTATCAGACTCGTGACGCAATGCAGAACGTCGTTGCTCAATTGTAAGGATTTTCCAATGTTTCTTTTTGTTTGATCGCATGCATTGTTTTCAGTTGACTGTCGCTTCGTAGAAACCTGGTGTTTTTTTTTGTGATATGGTCAATAATCTTGACAAAAACAGAGTATTATACCCTCCCCATAGAGGGGAGGGGGTTGAGCTTGAATGGTGTAGTGTCAAATGGAGCCGCTACCACACGCATGAGATCGAGTCTTTGGGGGATGACGGACTAAACCTTTCATCTCTGCACTGTTCAGTTTCGCCCCAAAGAATAATACTACCAATTCGTATTTCATCAGTCATTGCCGGCACCAGTAGCGCATTCAATTATCACTACAGTTTTAAATGGTAGCCCAGCGCGGGGCTTATCTCAAAATGAGATTGATTAACGCAAGAGACAAACCTTCTATCCGCTTAAAGGCACTGTTCACAATAATTTTGTGGTGTCCCTTTTTATTCAAAAAACGGAAGTATATGTTGGGATCAATGCTAATGGTGGTGAAAGAACCGAGTAAGCTTGCGCCGATTTAACCTTTATTTCCCCTTTTTCGAGACGCCGAGATAACCCGAAAGGAAAATAAAGGTTGGACGAGATTACCATGTCAGAAATAACATGGGAGTGGTATTTGTACGAGATTTCAGTTGCTGCAATTGCACAGAGAGCTGACAATATCAAGCCAGAACTGAACAGAACTGTCTTTCTCTGTCGCTATCGGTCATGACAAGTTGCTCGAGCCTCCTACATGGACTCCCTTGTGAATGGGCAGCCTCTGCAATGCCGGTGAAACTCGTCCGTGAATACACACGATGCAATCTTCAAGTCTTTATAACGCCCTAGTCAATCCGTTTTCCTACACGAAGGGGCCTCAAATTCATCCTATGGGGGAATCTTAGAAACCATTTTTATCGTGAACTGTGCCTTTAAGGTTGATTCCGCATGTAAAAGAACTGTAGCAACTTTGTTCATAAATGAGCTACTCAAAGGCACCGTTCACGATAATCTAGAGGATCNAAGGAAAATAAAGGTTGGACGAGATTACCATGACAGAAATAACATGGGAGTGGTATTCGGACGAGATTTCAGTTGCTGCAATTGCACAGAGAGCTGACAATATCAAGCCAGAACTGAACAGAACTGTCTTTCTCTGTCGCTATCGGTCATGACAAGTTGCTCGAGCCTCCTACATGGACTCCCTTGTGAATGGGCAGCCTCTGCAATGCCGGTGAAACTCGTCCGTGAATACACACGATGCAATCTTCAAGTCTTTATAACGCCCTAGTCAATCCGTTTTCCTACACGAAGGGGCCTCAAATTCATCCTATGGGGGAATCTTAGAAACCATTTTTATCGTGAACTGTGCCTTTAAGGTTGATTCCGCATGTAAAAGAACTGTAGCAACTTTGTTCATAAATGAGCTACTCAAAGGCACCGTTCACGATAATCTAGAGGATCCGGTATTTCACAGATAGTGATAGGTATGGCCCACATTAGGGCAATGGTAAAGCATAAAACGCGAAAAATAGCGAAAAAAAGAAATATAAACGGTCAAAAAAAAAGAAAAAGGGGTTGGGCGAGTTTCATAATGGAAAAACGGCGGTTAAGCGAATTTTCAGGCGAATAGACGAAAGCGACGTAATGTCTGCCATTGCACCAACACGCTCAAACTGCTGATTTTGGCTTCTTCGTTAATATTATTTATTCTACTGACGATATTAAGATTTTGAGATTATTGTGCCTGATCCTTCTGATGACGGCTGAGAATAATTTAGTAGAACGGAATAGAGCAGAACATTAGTCGAATAGTAGAAATACAGCCGAATACTTGTACCAGAAGGGGACGGTCGACCAGCTGACCGTCTGTGGCAATTTGCCAACCAGCTTATCGATTTTTCACCAATTTCGGTCCAATGCGAAAGTGGTGAACGGCAATCAGATT